ACCAGGCCAAGGGAGAGAACATCAAATCGGGGCTCCCAGCAACAATGAGCGGCACTGACGAGCCCGGATAAAGACCGGGAACCGCCACCAGACCTCCACCCACCGGCGAACGGGAGAGACGAAGGAATATGCCCAGCTGCGAAAACGAGGAAAAACGACAGCAGAGGAGGGAAGGGCGGTCAGCGGCGGCCACAGATCCGGCCTCGCCGCCGCCGGAAGAGGTCAAGCCGGAAAGAGCGAGAGGAGCCGCAGGAATGAAGAAATCGCCTGTTTACAGTGATGATACTTCTCTTTAATGTCATACATGTTATATAATATTTTAGGTTTTTTTTAATATTTTAAATATACATGTTTAATTTTCTTTTATAATGAAATATAAAACTATAAAAATAATGATAAATATTATTTCGCTAATTAAGTATAATCAATATTAAAAAGATAAACTAACAACTCATTGTCGAACTGTCAGGTAAATTATCATATTATAAGTAGATTATTCTGATCTTAAAGTTTCATTTAAGTTCCAACGGCATCTGTTCTTACTTATAGTTTTGTATGTAATTACAATAAATAAAAATCAGCGTCAGATTTTATCGTACTTTGACTTTTTTCTTAAATAAATTAGTATTTAGTCACGCCTATTATATGTTGTTGTTTCGCATGGAAGTAATAGAAATGAGTTTAAAATATTAGTTTTTGGGGACAACAAGTTGCCAAGTAATCAAACTAATAATATTGTACAATAAGGTTCTTAATAATATATTTTTTTATGATGTATATTTTATGATTTCACAATTTACCTACGTAATATCACTATTTTATTTTTTAATACACTTCAAATTATAATATTCTCCAAAATAAATACAGTCCGTGCATCGCACGGGTTACGTACTAGTTACAATTGAACTGAAAAAATAAAATTACAAATGAAAAATAGTAAGATTTTAGCCGAGGCGAGTAAAACTCTTTCGACAAGAAGAATACACCCCGTGTGTCAGCTAACAGTTCAGGCGTAACTTTCCCAAAGATACAACGACAAACGTCTCTAAATCTGTAGCACACCAGATTTACGAGCTCCGGCAAACAAGAACGGAATCGAGAATTGAGCACTTAGAAACAAAAAGAATATCTTAAAACAAATAAAAATATTACTTGTTTTTTTTTCTCTTTTGATATTTTTATATCCGATATTTGGACATAAATCTATTTTCTTTCCTTTCTCTTTATCTTTCTTTCCTCTCTTTTTCTCTTCTTGGTGCACCATTCTTCAATTTGGCCGAGGCCCTTTTATAGGGATAGTTTGAGCAAGTTGTCAATATGCCAATAGCTGTAAATTAATCATTGGGCACATGTTGATTAGCATTAAACAAAATGGTGCAATCTGGCCACGAGCAACATGAATCTTGACCATGTTAGTGCAGGAACCTTCTCCATGTTAGTGGGGCCTTTCACATGATTTACACTCATATTCTAATATTACTCTGCAAAACGGTCACAAGCATAGTTCTTATACTAAAAAGAGGACTAAGGGAAAAAAAACATAAAACAAAATATCACAAATAACAAACCATAGGATTACTCCATTGGGGGTTAAGGCGATTCTCTTTCCGAGGAGATACTCATAGGGTTTCATAACTTCTCGGGGGTTGATCATTTCTTG